ATATAGAGAATATATTTCATGGATGAATATGAATAAGGGTGAATATACAGAATATATTTCAAGGTTAATTTCAGAAGAAAAAAATTTTAAAACAAATTCAGGCTGTATATACAAGCCATGGTAGTTGGGGCTTCACGGCTTCGGCTACTTCCACTTTATATAGTTTTTATATTTTATTATATAATAGCTGACACATGATTTCATTGACATATGATAATTTTAGATTTTATTGGGCTGTTACTGAAAAAAAAACATTTAAATAGTGTCCATTCAAAGGTATCATACCTTTCCGCTGGAATTCTAAACGATAAATCGGCTTTTTCTCCGCTCATAGATATCTTTGAAAAGTAAGACCAATACCAATGAACAATAATAGGCTAATTAGTTTACCATGAATTTACCCAAATAAGTGAACGGTCCCTTTAAATTTCAAGTTTTCAAAAACTATTCAAAACGATTAACAACAGTTAACACTACAATTGTATAATAAAGTATTTAAATTTTAAATTGCATTTGAAATCTTTTTTATCTAGGAGAACAATCTTTGGCCTATATTCATGGCCTATGATTTCACTGACTTGGATCTTATCTTCATCAAGGAGTTGATTTACGGCCCCCTCCCAGGCTCTGACGGAGTATTCAAGGGCCGAGGACCAGAGAAACATTTCCTCTACGAGATCGTCGCAAACAAGATATCCAGCATTGACGTGGACAAGTGGGATTACTTTCTCAGGGACAACAAGGCGATGAACATTGGGCTCACCTTCGATTACAAGAGGTTTATCTGCATGTCTCGCCTGGTGGAGGTCGACGGGAAAACCAGGCTCGCCTTGGCAGATAAGGAGGCCCGAAGTGTTGAGGTAGGATACTTTATACTTTTTCTTTAATTTTGACATTTTGGGATATCATTGTCTGACTAATCACGTCAACCTAAATCTATTAAAACATGTAAAATTTCTATATAACATGTAATTTGCAATTCCTTTTATTGAAGAACTATGAACCAATAAATTGGCTGTTCTCATAATTATGTTTAATGTTTAATTACACTGTTATATCATCTGTCTAGTGGATTGTGCTATTCTGTTACAAAGGTTACAGAAGGGTTGTCACGGCGTTTTAAAAAATATTTTGTTTCTTGTTATTATTAACTATGGTTTTGTCGAACGTGTTAATGTACAAATATATCTGTAATGGGTCTGGCTAGTGGTTTTATCGGAATGAGGGAGGGATGATGAAAGTTTTCTATAATAGCTGTAAAACACAATATTGTGAATTATTCTCAGCTAAACGATATAAAATATGAACTTTCGACGAATATAATACTAATCTTTTTTGATAAAGGAGACATTTCTATCTGGCATATTCTTTAGATACTTGTGTTTAGAAACTAGAAATTTCTATCTTGTATATATTTGTTGTAACCTTGTGTTTAGAAACTAGAAATTTCTATCCTGTATATATTTGTTGTAACCTTGGGTTTAGAAACTAGAAATTTCTATCCTGTATATATTTGTTGTAACCTTGTGTTTAGAAACTAGAAATTTCTATCCTGTATATATTTGTTGTAACCTTGTGTTTAGAAACTAGAAATTTCTATCTTGTACATATTTGTTGTAACCTTGTGTTTAAAAACTAGAAATTTCTATCCTGTTTATATTTGTTGTAACCTTGTGTTTAGAAACTAGAAATTTCTATCTTGTATATATTTGTTGTAACCTTGTGTTTAGAAACTAGAAATTTCTATTTTGTATATATTTGTTGTAACCTTTTGTTTAGAAACTAGAAATTTCTATCCTGTGTATATTTGTTGTAATCTTGTGTTTAGAAACTAGAAATTTCTATTTTATATATATGTGTTGTAATCTTGTGTTTAGAAACTAGAAATTTCTATCGTGTATATATTTGTTGTAATCTTGTGTTTAGAAACTAGAAATTTCTATTTTGTATATATTTGTTGTAATCTTGTGTTAAGAAACTAAAAATTTCTATCTTGTATATATTTGTTGTAACCTTGTGTTTAGAAACTAGAAATTTCTATCCTGTATATATTTGTTGTAACCTTGTGTTTAGAAACTAGAAATTTCTATCTTGTATATATTTAATGTAATCTTGTATTTAGAAACTAAAAAATTATATATTGTATATATTTGTTGTAACCTTGTGTTTAGAAACTAGAAATTTCTATCGTGTATATATTTGTTGTAATCTTGTGTTTAGAAACTAGAAATTTCTATCTTGTATATATTTGTTGTAACCTTGTGTAAAGAAACTAGAAATTTCTATCTTGTTTATATTTGTTGTAATCTTGTGTTTTGAAACTCGACACCTCTATCTTACATATTCTTTGTAATCTTGTGTTAAGAAACAAAACACTTCTTTCTGATATATTCTTTGCCATCTTGTGTTTTGAAACTAGACACCTCTATTTGACATACTCGGTGTAATCTTGTGTTAAGAGACGAAACTCTTCTATCTGATATAATCTTTGTAATCTTGTGTTTTGAGACGAAACTTTTCTATTTGACATATTCTTTGTAATCTTATGTTTAGAACCGATAAACTTCATCCATATTTTTTACAATCTTGTGTTTAAAAATTAGTACCTTTTATCTGGGATATTCTTTTTAATCTTCTGTCTAAAAACTATCTATTATTTTTGTAATCTTGTGTTTAGAAACTGTTTGAGGATAGAACCCGACTGCATGAGCACGGATACCAGCACAGAGTTGTAAAGAAGATTGATCGAATGTATATTGATATTCTTCTTAGTGCTGATAAACGTGTGGAGATCTGCGTAGATAGAGAAGGTTACCATTTATTTATGATGATTATAATAATAATAATATTGATGATGATAATAATACTAATTTTTCAATTATCCGGATGATTGTCTGATCGATGATACAGAGCGTCCCATATCATATTAGATTATCTTCAAGCTTTAACTCCAAAGTACGCAGCTAATACTCGGAAAATATTTATTATTCATTTTTTAAAACTATTCTTTCGTTTTTAACTTTTTGATTAGTCCGAAAAATCTCAAATTTGGAGCTATAAACGATCTAATATGATGTGGGACACCCTGTAGATTATTATTACATTGTTCTGATCCCTGGTTTCTAATCGTTCCTTGTTAACTATTTTCTGTAATAAATGGTCGTTTTTATTAAAGATCATGATCATCAAATTCCACAGTTTAAGGAATCAGATACCTGATTCACAACAGTAACCTCTGAGCAACAATAAGGAAGATATCGTCGTTTTCCGAACTGGAAAAGTGTTAAATTCTGACAACTTTCTTATTTTTCTCTGCTGCATAAATAAAAAAACCGCTAAATAAAAATTTCAATTTTAAATTATGAAATAAGGATTTCTGCATAGCTTTTACTTATGCGAAGATTAAAGGGTACTTTTGTGAATCAATCAAACAAGAATGTTCACTAAAGTCCCTTTAACAATGAAAACATCAAATAAATGAATTTCTATATTTAGGTAAATTTGTCCCTTTATCTGAAGCTTGCAATGATATGTTTGTGTTCTCCCAGCTGACAGATGAATTCTTGTTCAACACTATCCGACACTCGAGAACAAATGCTCTGAAAGCAGCGCGGCAAATTATTCACAGGATATCAACCAGAAAACTCTACAAAGTCGTAGGTAGGGAATGTAAAAATTATTTTTCTGAATCTATTGTGTAACTTTATTAGTCATTGTCACTTCAGAGTAAATTTTATTATTGACGTGCTATAAAGTGATCATATCATTGTGCTATAATGTTAAATTAGCTATATAGTTCCCGAATTTTCTTCAAAAGAATAAGAATATTTTTTGAAAATTTTTAGATTTCAATTAAATTTAAATTTAAATAAGATTTAATTTTGTGTTAATTTAAGGTTTGGTTGGACGAAGTGGGAGTCATATCTCCCAGAAGTTTAATGAGCATCAGGTCTCCTTGAATGAGTTTTTATTGAGAGCAAACGGTTCATTATCTCCTGAAGATCTGACCCTCTCCTTGAAACGGATTACCTCTGGTCTAGGTAGACAGAATCCTGTGGAGAAGGTTCTGTTTGTAAACTCTAAAGGGCAGTCCAGGAACTACAGCTCAAAATACCTGAAGGAGATTATGCCTGTTGAAAAGGAAACCTTGCTGGTAATACTGAGGAGGGAGGGGGAGGAGTACAGGAAGGAGGCGGTGGAGTTGGTCAGAACCTGGCTCAGGCAATCCTTCGAGGAGGAGGATTATGAGATATCCTCCTCTGATCGAGAATAGACAGGACTAGATTTCATTCCCGAATTTTCTTAAATAGCGAAAAAAGACATGATTTGATATCTGGATAAAGCACAAAATTTTAAGAATGTATGATTTTTTTCAATATCCAGAAATAGAATTTGTCCAGATTTTCATCCTTGACACAGAAGGATCTCCAAATCTTCTTACATTCAAATTAGAATAGGCTTTATAAATACGCTTCGAGGATTTGGAACATGGTCTCTAGATATCTTTCTATGGTACAGAAGAATATCCAGAGCTGGGAATTCTTGTATTGTGGATTTCAAGATCAATGCTCTGAGCTAAAAACTTTAGAATTGGATATCTTGAATCTTGATCGGTTAATTAATCTGGAGATTAATAAGAAGAGGAGAACAAGCATTATTTAATCTTGAGATTAAGAAAAAGAGGAGATCAAGAATTGATCTCGATATCCACCATTTTAAAGTTTTCAGCTCGGTTACGATCTTTTGTTAATCTGCAGATTAATTTAATCTTTATTCGATATCCTGCATAGTTTTTGTACCCAGTCATGGGTTGAAGGAAGCTTTGATCAGGGGCGGGATAACTAAAATAAAAATATGGCAAGGTAGAGTTTTTTGATCCTTTAATTAAAAGTGCCCACAGCGGATACCCATAATCCCGATCGCTTGATCTCGATATCCATTGTTTGTGTGGTGAATCTGCTCGATTCTTGATTTTGGAAATCCTTACTATACTATTTTGTTTTCTCATTCGTTGAATACAAAGTTCCTTGGCTTCTGATTGGCTGTTTGTTATCCGAACTTAAAGATTAAATTAGATAAAAAAGATCGATATCAATGTTTGATCTCGATATCCACGATTCAAGTATTTCCCCCTCGAGATTATACAATACAGTATTTGATCAATGATAAACTATGCAAGACCGGTGAAGAACTCCTGTTAGTGTTATAATCATGTTATTTCTTATTAAATTTATGAATAAAAATATTAGTTTGATTCCTATTTCTTAATATTTCTCTTCGATCATGTCTCTTTCATTGAGACCGGGTGGAAAATTAAACTTGGATTATCCAATTTTGTAAATAATTACTTTTTCGTTCCTCGCCTTTTTTCATCAAGTTTTCATCAGATATTTAATCACATTGGTTCTAAAGAAAGAAAGAAATAATAATTTCCAATCTTATTTCATGCCTTTTGCGGAAAATGAAATTAGTTTATGATGTTATGAGAATTATAAAGCTTTTTCATAAAAGCAAAAATTAATCCATTAAATATTTACATGCGCCATATTATATACCTAGTTAAGGAGATAAACGTCCGAAATAAATAAGATACCAGTTAAGGCCGTTGCCAAGTTGGTTAACAGTTTTTTATTACGTTATTGTGCAGCAGTAACGAGGACGGAAATTGATGGACTTAATTTCTTTTCAAATAAAGAAATTAAACATGTTTTTGTTTAAAGTTTAATTATTCTTAAGGGATGATACATTTTTCTGAATCCATTTTACAGAAGCAAAATAATATTCCACTTTGAATTCTAGGGCAATTTTTAAAAAAGACATTTTTCACAAAATTCAAAATGGGCCCCTCAAATGGGATTTAATGGTAAAATCAGTAGTTCCAGTAAAAATTAAAAATTTGAAAATCTTATTAAAAAGGGTATTTATGGAACCAGCTTGAAATTGGAGTTCAAAACAATTTAGAGAATTTAAAAATATGGAAAATTTATGGTCAAAAATCGTTTTTTCTCTGAATAAATTTCATTTGTAAGTACTGAAAAAAGTTGTTTTTTTACCTACTCGGTCAAATTTCAATATTTTTAATTTCTGTAAATTGTTAGAAATTTTTATTTTCTCTTCTTGAAATTTTTTAACAATTTATTATTTGTGGCAGCCATTTAAAAAACATGTCTTTCCTTGTAGAATTCTTCTCTGCTAGTAATACTAAGTCACACCTTTACTGTATATTACTATTGATTTTATTTTGGAAAAAATATTGAGGATTTCTTCCAACTTCTAAGCCGAAAACTGTTGAAGATAGATTTTATTCCGTAGAATCTGAAATCTTATATCCTTTACAATTCGGAGGTGGTGGGAACTGGGTATAAAAACAACTTGCAGTTTTGGCTTAACAGGGTCGGGTAGGGAAATTATTCCCCACAAAAAAAAGAATATTTCAAATTGTTTTATAAACGGTTGAAGAGGCTTTTTAAGATTGCCAAAAAGAAGAGTGGGTTAAATTATCTGAGAAATATATATTGCACCCTGATCAATGCATTTTCTCCTTCAGTCTAAACTCCGAACCAAATAAATCTAATATTTAAGAGAAGAGAAGGAGAGGGGAGGGGAGCGGGGGCATTGTATTTTGTTCAATGTTTAGGATAAAACAGAAATGTTTCCCCAAGCCAAAAAGCTGAAATATATTTGAAGTGAAGTCTTTTGTGATTTATTTTGTTATTATTAGTAATCAATATTTATCTTGAGAATTATGAGAGGTTTAAATGCGAAAAACCTAGCTGTATATCGTGTGAATAAATTCTATATAAAAAACTAAAATAACTAAAATTTTATTAGCTTATTTCTGTTTCTGTAACTAACATCATTGACACCCTGTATTTTAATTTATCTCTACATAAAAATCCCTCTGATCTCACCCTGCTACAGATCACCTGACAATCTCCTTCCTTCCAATCAACTCCTTACCTATCCAAAAACATATCTTGATATGTGTAACCAATTATATTTAGTATCGTTAATTAACTTCGGGCCAACCCCTCAAAACAACCAACCCTGGTTAGGCGGGTCCAAACTGCATAGTAAATTGTGATTGCTTATTTGTATTATCTCGTGCTTTGTAGTTGAATAAATACATGAATGAATATGAATGAATTATTTGAATTTACAAGGTTGGAAAACTAATGAATTTTGAATTAAAATAGGATGGAATAAAGGACTCTAAGTATTAGAGAATCTTGGCGTGCAGAATGTGATTAAAAAATATTTTTACATTTATCGCAAACAGAGGTTCAATTTGTTTTATATAAAATTGGAATTCTAATTTTAAATCTATGTAAAATATATAATATGTTTATATATGCACTAAAGAAATAGCTAGTGTCCGAAGTACTGTTTATTGTTTAGTCATGACTATAGTAATAAATATTTTATAAATAAGTTAAAAATGAATATTTTGAGAAAGATTATAATGTTTATTAAGTTTCATACCACTAATTAAAACATAAACAAGGCAAATATTGGAAATTGATTGGAACATTCTGGAACTTTAATCTAAAAACGGATTGGAACGGAAATTAACCCTATTCCCGCTGAGCTGGGGGGGGGTCAATTTGCCCCCCCCCCCCTGTAGTTTTTTTTACATAACTCAAAAAGTATTGGTCTCAGGCTTTTAAAAATTTTCTGACTTTTCTTACATACCCAAAGCCCTCCCTTTAGGGCTAAAACCGGGCTTTAATACTAACTGCCTGAGTCCTCAGGCACACTGCCTGAATGACTGCTTTTGCCTGTAACAAACTAAATCTTTGTTTTGACCCACTTTCACTTGTCAGATTTTGATAAAATTTAGCTTTTTGGAAAGCGTATGACATAAGAAAACGGATTGCACAAGTTTTGCGAGAAAAAAAATGCAAATTTTTTGCAAACAACCTGTCAAAGGAAATTTGCACATTTTTAGTTTTTCTTGATTAAAAATCAGGTTAATTAAAATTTTGCAAACATTTTTGCATATTTGAAATGGCATGGTCCACGGTTTTTTAAAAATGTATAATTTGTCATTTTTTGGACAAATTTTTTTTTGCAAACATTTTTACTATAAAACTGGATTTTGCGATAAAAAATTCAATTTTCGCAAATTTGCAAATTTTTTTGCAGATTCTAAAAGTAGAGCACAAGAGCTTTCTAATGATGTATCATTTGTCATATTTGGACATAAAACATGGGATTTAGAGGGGGGGGGGGTCAAATTGACCCCCCAGCGTATCCTGGTTTTCAAGTACCCCAGCAGGGATAGGGTTAATTGGAACATTCTGGAACATTAATCTAAGAACAAATTGGAACGGATTGGAACAGCTGTTATGCATATGACAGGAATCATACATAGTATAAAGTTGAACACTTTTTAGCTGAAGAAAATTGATTGGAACATTCTGGAACCTTAATCTGAGAACGGATTAGATCAAATTATGCATACGAAAGGAACTGCACTGCACTGAGTGAAAGGAAAGGTCAAAGGAACGATATTACGCAAGATGGAACAAACCCGATATACAGGGTGTCCCAATAAAAATGGGAATTCAGTGTCGAATTGGATATCGTCTTTGTTATGAATTAGCATTGTAATACCTAATTTCAAAAGCCATAATATTATTATGTCTGCTAGAGTTTATTTTATGCAAAGGCTAAAAGACTGTAAAGATATGTCTATAATGTCTCCGCAAGATGAACTGTGAAGACTGACAAGTTTACTCTGTTTGTATACTGCAATTTTCTTGTTTTACTAAGTACAACCGTATGCAGTCAAAACATAAACAAACAAAATGTGAACATAGCAGACGAAACTCTTACAGATTACAGCTTTCTCAGTTGGTATCACTATAACAAATCAAAGACTTATTTAAAAATACAATATCGAATTCGTCATTGAATTCCCATGTTTATTGGGACACCCTGTAGTATAATTTTTAAAAAGTTTTTAACACTTTTTTAATCCAATAAATGCAATGTGTAATGTATAATCTTGACAAATTGTTAATAAATCAAACATAAAGCTCTTTATCAGATTCATGGCAAAATTATCTTTTTACAGCCTAGAGGGTGCAAGTGTGTTGTATTACTTATTAGTTGGATTGAAACCACTTCAGGGTAAGGATTAAGATTGGTTGTAAAAAATTCCGTACGTACATACAGAGCAAAAGGAGGTACATTGCATTTCAACTCCAAATTATCATTTTTAAGATAAAGTTTTTAAATAGGAGTTATAATGGAAAACATATATATTTTATTTAGTATAACCAAGGAATAATTGATGATATTGATATTATTTCAGCTGATAGGAATAAAAAGAAAATAATAATTACTGTGCAATACACGAGGAAGTAAAAACGTGATAAGCCATTTTAAGTATTATTCATGTAAATTGCAGTGCACGGTGCGAACTGCAGACTGCAGAGGGACGGGGGTGCCGGTGGAGCAGCAAGAAGCCCCGCGAAATGGTCTTTAAGCTACAGAATTTGCAAAGTGACCTCAGGCTCCAAGCTAGATAATAGTAAAACATACAACAGAAAATTTTTAATTAAAATTATATAAAAAATTATCTTTTGATGTAAAACTGGAAAATTAGTGTAAAACTTTTGATGTAAAACTGGAAAATTAGTGATATTACAAAAAATGACTGTCTGAAATTCAATTATTAGCTGAAATAAATAGATTTAAATATAAGCTCTGATTTTTTTGCATTGTGAAGAGTAATTTGATGAATTTTGGTTTTTCAATCTACTAAGTCAATAAGAAATTAAAAATCATCTGACTGAGGCAGAATTTGCGACTGAAAGCCCTTTCTGAAGGGCTTGAATCTCGGCTTTCGAGGTTCGGGTGGCTAGTCTGCAAATTTTGCGAATTGGAGACAATCTCACGGGGCTCATGGCGGCACCACCTTCCTAGCTATGCAGGGTGCACATGATTGCAAAATAAATTTTTATCAAGGATAATATATCCGGAAGTCTCTTTGAAAAAAAAACTACAATTCAAAATTATCGAAGTTTAGATTGATAAAACCAGAGATCGAAACTTTTGTCCGGAGAATTATTAATCTTCAACGCTTGATTACGATATCCAATATGGGCACTTTTAAATTTCAATACTTGATTCCTAAATCTAAGTAACTTATGGTCAAGACATGAGGACCAGGAGATATCGGAAAGGAATTGAAATTAATCCGCAAAATGTCTGCATAAGATGAAGATGAATGCTTTATCTTTTGAGATTTACAACAACAAAAAGTTCTGACTTATCTTCCTTAAATTTTCTCGGACGATCAACTTTAAATCGGGCATTCAACTTTTTTAAAGAAGGGTCTCACTTAAAATATGTCTATGAAATTTTTGAATATTTTAGCTTAACCATTTTTTCTCTAGATCTAGATTTTCAAGATGATGAACGACTACAGCTTCAGCTCTGACCTCTCCATGGATACGTCCTCATCCTGTCCTAATACTCCAGAGAAAGGTGACGGGTTCGCCCCCCTCTCCCCCTCACTTGGCTCTAGCATGATCATGATAGTGGACCAGCTTTTATAAAATTTTGCCAATTAAGAAAAAATACCAACATTTTTCCTTTGCGCTTCGCGCATCATTACTAATAGAATTTCTATCTATTTTCTCGTTTTTGACTTAAAGAAAGTCAGTCATTAATTTATCGTCTCAAAAAACCCTGTATATATATGTGACTTCTCATGAGTATTACAATACATATGTCATTTAAAAGGTTACACAAAAGCTGACAACCTAATAAGAATAACAAGAAATATAATAAGGATTATATCGGACTATTAGGACTTTTGCAGACTATAAGAGGAAAACAGGGACCCTTAAACTGTCAAACCAGGACAGAGGGACTTTGATCAGAAAAAATTGCTGTAAACTGTAAGAAGGGACTTTAACTACAGTAAATAAATATGACAAAGCCAGGGACTAACAGGCACATGAAAAGACACTAAAAGAACAGAATTATTTTGGTGCCTTGCGCAATTGTTTAATTGATTTACTCATGTCGTCCATTTTAAATCTGTTGGATGTATATTATTTTTAAACACAAGAACAAGCTATGAATATTATGAGAATTTCGTTTTTTATTGAGCACAGAGCCAACCCTTCAACAAATAAAAAAGCTGTATTTTACTTCAAATCCTGAAAACAGCGCTTTCTTTTTAAAAAAATTATAATTTCGTGCATTGTAAGCTAATCTCGTTGAAAATACATTTTTATTTTTTTATTGGAAAGATGAAAAAATTTTTAGGTTTGATTTTCTAATTTTTTTTAGCTCTGTCAGCTTTCTCAAAAACTTTCCTAACAATTTAACAAACCAGGAACTAACAGACACTAAGAAAGACATGAAAAGACACAAAAAGAACAGACATTTTTTGCGCTTTGCTCACATGTTTATTTTATTTCATCATATCGTTCCTTTTAAACCTCTTGGAAGTATATTTTTTTTTAACACAAGAACAAGCCGTCCATTATAAATTGATACTTTTTTAGCAGCTTATAAAATAGCAAATCCACCCATATGAAAAAATCCGCGATGATCAGCTACCTGTGCCCTGGGAATTTAGTTATATTGTTTTGAAGAATATTCATCATTAGCTTTTCATATTCATCTTCTAATTCATTGGTTAACATTTTCTCTTTGTATGCATTGTAAAACAAAAACAAAAATTTCGCGGATTTTATTAAAAATTTTGTGGATTTTCAAAATTATCAAAAATCGAATTTTGTTAGAAGCAAATTTTTGAAAATTCAATCATACATGTTAGGTCCTACAAAAATTTGGGCCCGATCGGTTCAGCCGTTTTTATGTTTATTGGATACAAACAAATAACAGACAAGCAAAGTATATATTCAATTTTCATCATAGAGAAGATTAAGGGCATGAAGAGGAGTGGATGAAAATGCTTTTTGGTAGGTTCTACATCAAAAACTACCATGCCAATTATAATTCATACTTTCCCCTGAAAGTTAAGGGCCTTATACCAAAAAATAATATTTTTATACACGCACAGAGACTGCTTTTTGGTCCTGGGAGCTAGTGTTTCTCATGAAATTTGTCCTCAGCCAAAATCCAATCACCCAGCGTAAATTTAAAAATGATTAATGAGATTCTCTATTTTGGACACCTTTATGATATATTCACTAATTAATTACATTGACTATCTACATTTATTCTGTAAAAAACGCTGGATTTATTTCAATCATTGTGCATATATTATATATATTTATAAAAATGTATATATGTTAATTTCACTATATTAAAAGTGAAATGTCTTATCTTTGTAAAATTTAATTCTCGATAATTATCGAGCCTCCCAGATTCGCTAGGCAGACCGAGCCTCCACTATGCAGACAAAGCCTACGCTATGCAGACCGTGCCTCCGCTATGCAGTAAACGAGCCTCCACTATACAGCACAGCTTTTTTTAAATCTTGGTTTTTATGAGTGATGAAAACTTTTAACAATTTTTTTTTGATGTAGTGGCATAAGAATTTTACTAAAGATTAGAGTTATTCATTGATTTTCATGATTAGAAACATATATGGACTCATTAAGTGGTTTATAAGATTTATATTAAAACTTTAAACATTTCTTACGCAGAAAGGAAGATATTTGGAGTTATATTTCTGGAGTAAACTTGGTTTGTTTTGTTGTAATCTTTGATTTAAACAATACCTTTTTTGAAAAATGTTAAGATTTAAATAATAAATAAAAAATTTTTAGATTTAATTTGAACTTCAAAAAAAGGTATCGCTAAAATCAAAGATTATAAAAGATGAAATGAAATGAAATTCAAAATTTTTTTCTAAATATTTTCCTTTTCATGTGAAGAATGTTTAAAGTTTTAGATACCACTTTATTAGTCATAATTAGGCACTATTTATGATAATAAATTAATAGTTTTCATCTTTGAGAAGCCTCTCATGCAACTATGTTCTAAAAATTTCAAAAAAATCTTTTATTTAAACTTGAAACACAAGTTTAAAAATACCTCCTGTATTACACAGGCACATTTTGATGTGTTGCGCATGCTCATTTCTGCAAAGCGGAGGCTTGGTCTGCCTAGCAACTCTGGGAGGCTTGTGTCTGCATAGTGGAGGCTCATGGCGTTTGGGGGTTCCCTCCCTCGCCCAATTGATTCAGCCGTTTGGCCAGCCATAGCAAACATATAAATGAACTCGAAGAGCTTTATTATATAGATTACAATTGTACTTATACTTTTTTTTCAAAACGGAAACTTTTACAAGTCATAATTATTTTCTGGACCTCTGTCCTTTTTTCATCTCATAGAATTTAAGTTTTAAGTTGAGTTTTTCATCTTCAAAAATATGACTTTTACTATCTCTAGTTTAAATAATAATTATTACCAACATAATAGTATAATAAAATGTCGATTTTTTAGAAACAATACTTTTTTTCTGCTAGTTTTGTTTGAAGGAGAGATAAAGTTTAGTACATGCAAGGTAATTGGACTGTATGGTTACCTTTAGTATCTTATACTTATAGCCTGATATCCGGTGGATCCGCATTTGAACTACTGCCGTTTGAACTATGGTACGTTTGAACTATTGCTCGTTTGAACTATTGTTCATTTGAACTACTGACATGACGTCATATCCTGTAGTTTAAATCAACGCATTTCTTACTCATTTGAACTATTTTTCTACCCCAATTCAGATTTAAAATTTTTTTTATAATCTCCATTAAGTTATATTCATTCAAGGATTCTAGGGGGGGGGTAAGTAACCCCAATTACCCCTTTATTTACGCCACTGAGGCTAAGCTTTGTTTACATACCTTTCAGATCAAACTGCGCAGATATGTTCACCTATCATATGCCGCAGCGCTTGGCTCACACTGAACAGATTTTACCTGCGGCAACAGCTAGCAGAGGAACAGAAAATAATAGTAGGAAGGGAGGAAATAGGGAAGGAGTACCTGTCTACACACATTCCCCCTAGAGATAATAGTGGAGTAAGGAAACGCCAAGGGAGTTGGCATAGTAAAAGAGTAGTAAATAGTAAGGTAACAGATAGCAGATAAGAGTAATAAATAATCTGCATTTAGAGTAGCTAAGTAGACACAATAGATTTAGTATGGTTAACACTTAAAATAAGGGCGCTACGACATCTGCTCTATTTCCATTTGCTTTATGGTCATTTGCTCTAGTTCCATTTGCTCTATCAAGTCATTTGCTCTATACGTCATTTGCTCTATACGTCATTTGCTCTATATTGAATTTGCTCTATGACTAAACACGTCATTTGCTCTATACCATAAAAATACACTATAAAATAGCTTTTATTGGAATTCCTGAGCATAACTTGACTATGAAATGCGGGATTTTTTTTTGGAAAATTCGCAAATTGCAGGTTTTATAGTTCTTCAAAGTCCATCATGACAGCGAGACTGCTCAATAATAAGAGGGGTAAAAAAAACCTAATATGTGGTGAAAACTATATTTATTCTACTCTAAACAAACAGGGTGTCAATACTCAAAGAACAAGGAAATGTTAATATTTAACTTGGTCTCACAAAATGCACAAATAGCACACAAACAAAACTATCTCCTGGAAGTTGGCGGAATAATGAAACTGTAGGAAGAATTGTAAAATGTAAAATTGTAAAAATATTGTTTTAATATGATTAGATATTTATATAAATATGTTTATAGAGCAAAGGACGTGTTTGCTCATAGAGCAAATGTTGAGTAGAGCAATTGGACCATCACAGTCATAAAAATGTTTATAGAGCAAATGACGTGTTATGTCATAGATCAACTGACGTATAGAGCAGATGACATATAGAGCAAACGTCGTGATCTATGAGCTATAGAGCAAATGGTTAATAGAGCAAATGGAACTAGAGCAAATGACCATAAAGCAAATGGAAATAAAGCAGATGTCGTAGCGCCTAAAATAAGTAACTTAGAGCTGAGAGTTCATAAAATGTTGTTGCCTAAATTATCATCTTCTGTAGGATTTTCAATCCATTTGATTAGAGAAGGAGGGATCCAAGCAGGTTCAACTGGAAAAGTGATGTTTTGTTGACCGGCTAGAGCGTGGAAATGGTTGAAGTTTGCTTTAAAAAGGTGATCTGCTAAGGTGGCGTAAGTGTTAGAGCAGCGCGTTATTTTGCAAAAATCTACGGTGCATCCTAAGCTTGCGGCAAGTTTTGAAATCGCTACAACTAGAGTAGTGGAAGTTTCAAGAAGTGCTGTAACCTTTTTGCCAAATAAAGACAGAGGCCGCATTGTCAACCCAGATTTTTACAGGGCGGCTTTTGCACCAGGAGTGACCGCTAGCTAGAATTAGGAGAGGCCCAACCAATTCTATAGCAGACATAGCTCTGCTGAGTTTCCTATTGGTGGAATTAGCTCTGCACCAACACCTAGACCAATTTTGAAGGGAGAGCCGCCCGCTGCGTCACAGTAAGCATTAATTGCCCAAGGTGGCAGTC